GCATGCAGAACACCCATCTTTCGCTTTAATGCAAGCATCCGACCTCTTTCGGAAGTTCTCAAGAATGCGCGCAATCACCTTCACCCAACGCTTCTACAAGAGCACTTTCTTTCAGAGGTTCTTAGGACCTGTGTATGAAAGCGCAAGCCTTTTGCTCTAGAATCGACTATACACCAAAATCCAAAGGATTGAGATCGGGGAATTTTAAGGTCAAAACCGCTTCGCCCCAAAAACCCGGAAGCGTGGTTTCACAACATTGCAGCATCTTCTTTGTGCTGTGGGCTGGTGCCCAATCCTGTGGAAGGTTCAGCTGACGTTAATCGCGTTCCTTTCCACCCAAGCGATCACCGCTTCCTCCAGCCCAGAAGCCCATAAGTTGACTTTTTTATTGCCCGTCACACTTCATGTGGGTCACCCTGTAGTCGAGGTAGCGCCTAGTCCACAAAGTTAGTTATCGTTCAAAGTTCTATAATCTGACAAGAACAACTTCGCTTTATGCTTCCATTGGAAAGGCTTATAGAGCTTCTTCTATTCATTTGTTCTGCCTACATGTCTAGCCTGCAATTCTTCAAATTATGATGACTTTTCATGTAATAGTAGTTCTCGTTTGTTGACGCCATTATGCTTGCAAGTGTATCGAAAATTACTAGACTGGTAAGAAAATCCTGAGCCGGTTGACATTCTTTGTTGTTTTATTTTTTATTCAGCACCCAGTGGAATACATCCAACAATATAATCACTGTTCATACGTCCCACCTACTGGTAGGTATCAACGTCCTTCACCCAGAACTGGGAGACCAGAGCCAAAGAAATAGCTAACCCTCATTACCTACCCCGTTCCGAATTTCTCAGACTTGGTAGGTTTTTTCATAGCTAGGAAGGCCATCAGAAGATCACGTAAGTGATAGTAATGCTCATAACCCGATTTCATCACTTTGATGACATTAGAAGTGAATCCGATTGACAGTACACTGGTCCCTCATAGTTAAGATAGTTTTGAGTAGGATTAACTTTGTCTCAAGTAGTTTCTTTTATTTTCGTTTATGTATAGTGCATATACATATTTGTACCTTATCATGAACATTATATACAGACATCTGACTAACAATCAAGATTTTGCGTGAAATACTACAACATGGCGCATCCCGACGAGCGGGGGCTTCCCACAGCAGTAAGTATGGGCGCTGCAGTGGTTTCACGGCAATCATCGTAACCATCCACTTGAAATTTGAATCCTACACCTAGCTCTCTGACATCTGCGAACTGCGAACTGCGAACTTTCGGGTACAAGATCCCACACCACCTGAAAGATGTGGGGTCTTGTACACAACCGTTTGAAATAAAGCGCTTCAGAGATAATATGCTCCCCTTACTGAAGGGAATGAATAGGATGAAGTCTTGAAGAAACCGGTTATGACTTTCTAATATGGTATATTCATCATTTCTCACCATACAAGCAACCCGCCTTTAATTTCTCTCATTTCAGTTGGGCTTGTTCTCGGCCTACGCTGTGATAAGGCCTATATTAAAGACACAACTCACGATAATTTTGCGGTGCCCTTTTTAGGTTGAAAAGTGGAAGAGTTGATGTAGAGGAGGACATCGCAGGCGAAGAAAGCGAGTAAATCCGCCTACTTCAAGCTTTTTAAACGTAGTGGAAGCGGAGGTTGTGCGAGAACACCGCGATAGGATTGGCATGAAAGGGGTTTTTGGACGAGTTTTAAGTGGCTGCCATCGTGCAAAGAGCTGACTAGATCAAACCATAATTGTCCAGAACTGCCTTCACTATTACAGTGGGTCATGGCAAGTTATTTGAATTTCGTACATTGGTTCCCTTATGAATGGCGCAGCCTTTACAAAGCCGTTGAAACTCGTCCGCTAGGGGTGTGGCATTCACACGACACAATCTCTGATTCCTTATTGCGCCCTATCCTGGGCGTTTTTCCCCCTTATAACGACAGATATGGCATAAGGGAAAGCCTCGAACTCATACTTAGGGGAATCTCACAAACCATTTTCATCGTGAACCTCGACCATAAAAATGGATAATCTAGGCCTCAACCGAAAGCAGCCTGAGCTGAATGGGAAACGTTTTCGTCTCAACTGCGAGCTTTTCGAATCACATCCGAATACTCTACAACACGTTATCTCTGCTCTAAAACTAATTTTCATCACCTAAATTGGAAATTTCTCAAGAAGAACATGTTTTCCTCTGAGCTGACTATTACGATGTAGACTGTTAGCTGTCAAGGAGTGATATTCAAAGAGCTAGCATCGCTTTGAAGAAGCTGTCTTCCTATGAGTTTTGCCTATACCCTCGCACACAGTAACTACTATAAGTATCTTGGAGTTACATCTCTGTGCGCCGTTTCTGGCGTTGTTGTTCCCTCTGTTCGCGGAGTAAACGGCAGTGGGCGTTCAGACGAAACATCAATGAAACATAAAGACCAGAAACAAATAAGCGAAAGTCCCGTGGTTCCAACGGAACCGATCAAAATGCTTATTAATACTGAAAACATGACCTTTTACTTTATCTAGACATCTCTACGAGTACAAGGCCCACGGTGCAACACGCCGTTGTATTGTTATTACTAAAAACCCTCCTAGATGAACCCTAGACGCATTCAATGTCGCCATGAGCCAAACGATAAGGAGAACAAATGCTTTCGTCTGAAATCCCGGTAGAACGGCCAATTGCCCACGGGGACCGGCCAGCGCCAATCTTGTTAGGACCTTTCGTCTTCGGGTTGTGAGCTTAACTGCAAGGAATGTGATTCTAGCGCTTTATATCCACAAACACTTATCGCCCATGTCCACAAACAAGGGACTCGCAGGGAGTCTCTGTTTACATGAAGAACTGGCAAACACTATTTCAGTGTTCATAGTTCATCAGCGTTCTGTTACTTTGTACTCCGTCACTCGTTTCACTTACTGCGTAAACAATTTACGTCACTTCAGCACATAAATTGCTTTTCGAGACTGAGAACTACATTTCGTGAGCTAGTAAACAATACAGCCTGACTAGCCTAACCATAAGAGGAATCAACTGCAGTCGGGAAGCAGCTGTTGACGGGGAGTTGTACGGTCAGGACAAGATTTCGTAATAGCTCAACCCAGTTGAGGACGCCCGCATCAACATAAGCTCATTAATGAGCGTTTCGCAACGGGTCGACCCGGTTGTTGTTGCGACGCAACAACTCGCCCTCTTTCGCAACCACTATTTGAATCAGACAACCCCGCCCTATTTTCAAATTACTCGTAGGTTTCGCTCATCTAGATTTTCTCCCATTTGTTGAGGACAAAGAGAGAAAATTCAGAACGGCACTCGGTTCAACAGTAACCCAGCACAGTATAACCCGCAAATTCTTACCCGTCATATATACGACACGTCGAAACTGGGCCTTGGGCAAGGACACGGGACGGGTGTTGGGCAAGTAAGGGGGTACTGAATGAGCCGAAAGCCGTACTGAATTTTTCTTTTCTGTCTTGTGGGCAACTAATGAGATCCCCATTTCATTTTAACCCAAATTTTGTCGAACTCGAATAATAACAATATGTGTGAAGAAATGTAGAGAGTAATATTGGTAGAACATTCAAACTTTTTGTGTTGCAATTTTGTTACATTGACAAAATTAATTGTCTAGAATAACTAAAAAAAATAGAGGAAGATAATTGATGAAGAGAAAGAAATTTGTTGTGAATGTCGATAGCGATGTTTGTTTGTATACATATGTCAACTAAACACTTCTTCAGCATTTTTTAACTCACTTGAAGGGTTGTGTCCACAAAACTTTTCAAAATGATCGAAAGGCTCATTTAAATTGACTTTTCTTTGTATGGAATGGTTACCGTCCAAATAGTGGCTTTTGGCTTTTTACTGGAAATCGTGCTCTAGGTGGACAGAATGCTACGATCCTCGATGTAAATATTCAAAAGTAACAGTTCTCATGAGTAAAACAGCTGTCACGTTCGCGAACGTGAATACTGTAACACGTCTAAGGCGAACGGGGACATAACAATATAACAATGGAGATGGGCGGAGGTCATGTGCTTAAGCCAACCAGCCTTTCTATTCCCATGACCGGTTAACTGGTACCAGACTCATCTGGGAGGATAAAAGCATTGATTAGAATATCGACTGGACACCTTAAGTCATTGTAGAGGCCATATACCCAATCAAAGCGCCATTCACGACTCTGAATGGAAATCGAATATGAGAGCGCATATCAGAAACGGTTAGGTTAGCCTCAAGGGACTCTTTCGGTAGAACAACTGAGAGAGCAAGAATGATTTTTGTGAGCTGTGGGTGTTTGAGCTTCAATGAGAAGGTAGCAACCCACGCAAAATCAGTTGGGTTTGATGACGTTTTTTTTTGTTTCTCATTTCTTCATCTGGGATTATATAGGGAGGGAGGGGTTCGAGTTCCATTAACACCCATTCTTCAAAGTTACATAAAAGAAATCAAGCAGACCCCACTCATGCGAAAGATGGTAATGGCCTTACTTGCCGATAGCCTTCCTTCACCCTCCACGGAGCTAACGCTTATTCTCTAATCTTCTGTACTGGGGTTTTCAAGGCACTGCTCCTCCTTTTTCTTCCCTTTAACGACTTCGTCAACCCGTCAAATTTAAAATTAGATTCTTTTTGGCTACATTTTGTTGGACTGCGACAGCTGCGACGTGTAATTCGATAATTCGTCAGCCAAAACTAAGTAAAACTATCATAAAGACATTAAAGGAAGAGCAGAAATCAAACAGACGCTTCGAAGATAAGTCAGAAAGTGTTTTTAGGTTATTAGGAATGCCGTCGGATTCCATGCAATGTACGTATTGCTATGTCGCAGCTTCTAATCTCACGTCTCTGAGCTTTTCTATTGGCCAGGTCCTGAGGCGATGGAAAAATCTGCTCTGCTGGGAGGATTGTTTACATCGCTTTTCCGGGAGTGAATATATCGATTCTTACTCTCTTCTCCGAAAATTTTGCAGTGCTATGTGGTTTTCTATTCAATCACTGAACTGTTTTTGTGTTAGTCTATGGATTTATCCCTGCAACAATCCCCTTCAACAGCCTTTCGCCACTGAAGCCCAGCTATCTTTCCTTTTCAGACAAGTCCATGGCTTTGTGGGTTCTCAGACAGAGCTCTCTAGGGTTAGGGAAGAGAGTAGACTTTTGCTGCCGGATCGGTAGAAATAGAGGCATACCCATCCTTCTAACTCTCAGGGATGTCCATGCCCGCTTTGTTTGATTCGTAGACTTGGCCCTTGGCGTGTTACTTAGCTCAGGTGATGGAGCGACTACACGTAATAAAGCTCCGAACCTCTTCGGTCTACATGGATTCTGGGTCGTAGCGGGTGTCCCAGGTGTTCCATCATGAGCGACCACCCGCGGTGCGGTAGAATATTCGAACGTCGTTACGTTATCGCTGCGTTTCCCGCGCAAATGGGAGGAACCCGAATCACGCGCCAAATAGCATTTTATGATTGTGCTGTGGGTGGGTGGTGGCCAGCGGTCGTTGTGGCTTTGGCATCTGGGGATTATGTATCTTGTATAGCTCTGGGTTTCAATGCGCTTTAGGTTGACTTGATAATACCTTGAGTTCTTTGTAAAACGGTTTCTTCTTCGAAATGAAATGGTTTTTGACCGAGTATTGGGCCAGGCTCCTCAATGTTCTCATTATTTTGACATTGTTGAATCTGAACATTTCGTGCTGAATTTGTAGAATAATTGAAATCTATTCAGATACTTTCAGATACTAACTTGTGTTACTTAAAACAAACTAACAATGCAACGTCATACAAGCACCTACGTCGTGAAACGAGGTATGATCTCTTGCAAATTGTTTCAAATGAAATATCTGTGATCAGCTAGGTTCCGTCCACGTCTTGTCCCTATAGCCTCTTAGCTTTGGAAAAAATCAAAACTGAAGTGTGCCGTGCTTGATTGTCTAACTATATGGCCCGTCATCCTGTGGGCTAGGCCTTCATATCTTCCTCGATCAACGCCGATTGTGAGGTTTATTAGGTGTTACCCAGGATTCTTGCGGTAATTGATGCCTTTGTTATTTCTGGGCCTAAAATAGCCCATTTTGTTAAGCGCAAACGTCCCAATCTATTGGAGAGCCGAGTGGGATGAGAGAGCTGTATAGATTGTAGTAGAGTTGAATGCAATAACGAAGTCTAGGTGTGAACCCTTTTCCCAAATTCCACCATCAGGAGAATTACCACGTATCACGCGCCATTCTAGGACTCACAATTTATTTTCAGATGGAAGAAAGGAGACGGTACATTTCGACAAAATCACTGCTCGTATACAGAAGCTATCGTATAGGCTGAATATGGATTACGTCGACCCGGTATCCTTTTTTCTTTAATGAGGTGTGTTTTTTTCGCTATAGCCATATAAAAGCATGTACATAGGTCTTGGTAGCGATGAAGGTTATTGCTGGACTCTACAAAGGAGTATCCACAGTGGAGCTGGACAACTTAGCTGCTGAAACTGCTGCTTCGATGACCACTCAGCATCCCGATTATGCCATTCTAGCGGCTAGAATTGCTGTATCAAACTTGCACAAGAAAACCGGCAAGGTATTCCTGAAAATTCGCTAACCATACTACCCTTTGATTGCGCTCATATGTTTTGAGTGCTACTGTTTCAGGTGTTCTCTGAGGTAATGGAGAAGTTGTATCAGTTCCACCACCCTTTAACTGGCGAGCACTCTCCAATGATAAGTAAGGAGACCTATGACATCATCATGAAGCATGCAGATGTAAGGTCTTCAAGTCCTCGACATACTTTTCTTCAAAAACTTTCAGCATCAATACTATCAATATTTTTATGGTTTAGAAACTGAACTCAGCCATCGTTTACGATCGCGACTTCTCGTACACCTATTTCGGCTTCAAAACTCTGGAGCGTTCCTATCTTCTGAAAATCAACAAGGAGGCGAGTATAGCTGTTCTACGTCCACACCATACACTTTAAAAGGGAGCCTACCTTTTTAGAATCCCCTTCAGTTAGCAGTTCGTGTTTTAGGTCGCCGAACGTCCTCAGCATATGCTTATGCGAGTCGCTATTGGAATTCATGGCGAGGACATTGATGCAGCAATCGAGACATACGATCTAATGAGTGAGCGGTACTTCACCCATGCTTCACCCACGCTTTTCAATGCGGGAACAAGATGGTTCGTTCTTCCTTTTCACTATAGAGGCTCATGGTTTTTTTCCATTTACGTCTTTTCAATAACTTTTCACCATCTTTTACTATCTCAACACATGTAACTTCCAGGCCACAACTCTCCTCTTGTTTCCTTTTAACAATGAGCGAGGATTCGATTGCTGGCATTTACGACACATTGAAACAATGTGCACTGATCTCGAAGAGTGCCGGCGGAATAGGTCTGAACGTGCATAATATCAGAGCAACTGGATCGCTGATTGCGGGAACAAATGGCACATCCAATGGCTTGATTCCGATGCTTCGCGTGTACAATAACACTGCGCGTTACGTGGACCAAGGCGGTAATAAGCGCCCGGGAGCGTTCGCAATCTACCTGGAACCGTGGCATGCTGACATTTTCGAGTATGTTCTTCATACTCTTGGTTGGTTTTGTAGGTTTCATGCTCTCCAGTCACAATTGTGTATTCAGATTTGTTGCACTGAAGAAGAACACTGGTCCCGAAGAGGAACGTGCCCGTGATTTGTTCTACGCTCTCTGGATTCCTGATTTGTTCATGAAGAGAGTGGAACGCGATGAGGATTGGTCGCTCATGTGTCCTCATGAATCGCCTGGACTCCATGAGTGCTGGGGAGAAGCCTTTGAAGAGCTTTACACAAAGTAAGCTTATTGTTTACTTGTAAAACCAAATTCCATTGAAGGGCAAAATCCCTTATACTCCTATTTAATTTACCTCATTGACAGACAAAGCGTTCCAGGTATGAAGCTGAAGGCCGCTATCGTAAGCAGGTTAAAGCTCGCAAGCTTTGGGAACATATCGTGTCTAGCCAGATTGAAACTGGAACTCCTTACATCCTATATAAGGTGGCTTTTCGGTTCCGAGTACTTGGTTTTGGATCATCAGAATACATTTTAGGATGCCTGCAACCGAAAGAGTAATCAGCAAAACTTGGGCACAATAAAGTGTTCTAACTTATGTACTGAGATCGTGGAATATTCAAGTAAAGACGAAGTAGGTTTTATAGAATTGCATCGTTGTTTATTGGTTCATTGCTGATCATATTTCACTTTAGATAGCTGTATGCAACCTCGGCTCGATCGCTCTTAATAGGTTCGTCACAGAGGACAAGAAATTCGATTTCGATAAATTGCATGAGGTGGCAAAGGTATGATTTCGGTGCAGATTGCAGTTTTTTAGCGGGATAGTTCTGTTTAAAAAATCGTGTTTAAGGTACTGACCCGTAATTTGAACAAAATAATCGAGGTAAATTATTATCCCGTTGAAGAAGCTCGTCGGTCTAATTTCCGTCATCGTCCAATTGGTCTTGGAGTACAGGTAACAGCCATTCCTTTCGATTAAAACTGCAACAAACCAATCTTGAATAAACATTGAGGTTTTTTGGAGTAATTTGTGTTAATGCAGGGTCTTGCTGACGCTTTCATGTTGATGCGCTATCCGTTCACATCTCCCGAAGCTCGCGAATTGAATAGAAGAATTTTCGAAGTCATTTATCACGCCGCTCTTGAAGCATCTTGTGAACTTGCCGAGAAATACGGTAAGTGTAGTTTCCAATGGGTTTCTCTGATTCACATATTCTACGCTTTCTTTCTTAGTATGATCATTTCCAGGGCCCTATGAAACATACGAAGGAAGTCCCGTATCTAAGGGAATTCTTCAGTTTGATATGTGGAACGTGAAACCATCAGATCAGTGCGATTGGGATACTCTGAGACAGAAGATCAAGAAGTACACCTTTTTGGATGATCAATGTTTTAGTTGAATCTATGCGTTTGCTTTTCAGACATGGTGTTCGCAACAGTTTGCTGCTTGCCCCTATGCCAACGGCGTCAACAGCTCAGATTCTTGGCAACAACGAGTCCATTGAGCCGTATACCTCAAATATCTACAGCCGAAGAGTTCTTTCCGGTGACTTCCAAATTGTCAATCCTCATTTGCTGAAAGACCTGGTGGAACTGGGACTTTGGGACGACGATATGAAGAATCAACTGATTGCTAACAGTGGCTCAATTGCCAAAATAGCCGTGAGTTCTGCTTGATGGTGTAAGATCAAATGGATTATAGCTGATTATTATCACTAAAGGGTATTCCTGATCACATCAAACGCCTCTATCAGACAGTGTGGGAGTTGCCGCAGAAGGATATAATCGAAATGGCGGCTGACAGGTAGGTTAGAAAATTGAACTTCCATTAAGTTATTCCCTGAAACACTCTATTTATAGAGGCGCTTTCATTGATCAATCACAATCATTGAACATTCATATCGCTCGACCAAGCTACGCAAATATCACTTCTATGCACTTCTATGGATGGAAAAAGGTATTTAAAATCCATCTTATTGTGAATTCTAATCTTTTATTGCCGTAGGTCAAGTAATTGTTACATTTACGAGTTTATTTTGAGTGATACTAACTTTTGTTTTGAGGGCTTGAAAACTGGCATGTACTACTTGCGTACAAAACCTGCTGTGAATGCAGTTCAGTTTACAGTTGACAAGGAAGCTCTGAAAGCGAAGGAACAAAAAGATAAGGCGGTGAGTTGCCTCATCCCTTCTAGAAGTTGACTTCTGAATGTGTTTGTCTGTGGTGTTTTGGTAAAACTTTGCCTTTCAGGCTGGTGATGCTGCTCGAGCCATGGCTTCAATGAGCGTTCAGGATGAAGGATGTCTAATGTGCTCCGGTTAATTATTTGTAAATTAAGTAACCTCTCTCTTCCGCGTTTTCACTAAACGGTGTGTTCTTAATCTGGTAGTAAAACTAATGTATTCATTCCAACTGACTCATCCCCACTAACGAGTAAAATGACCTCATATGTTAATGTTGTAAATATTGTTACTTTCATGGCTTTAGCTATTTGTCTCCACAATCTTGCATGTTACAATAAAGCGGTTCAACATAAAGCTGTTCAAGTTGCTGCTTTTATAAGGGTCATGCGTGAGTCATGAAAAATGACACGATATGGTCTGGAAGTAATCTTTCGCTCAACTGGTGCCATTATAGAAAAGATGCAGTCATGGTGATCAGCTAGGAATACTTTTATTCATCTTATTGCTCCCTAGTAAATATTGGCAAGGCCTTTTCAGGCCAACGTTGCTTCCCTCAATGAAGCGGAACCGGTCGAAGCAAAGGACTACGAGCCGCTCTTATAAATGGAGGTTGCAGTTGTTAGAGTATGGACTACCGACATCATGTAGGGATCCCCTGGCCTTTTTTACCGTGAGTAAAATAGCATGAATAACAATTCGAGCTCCGCATCAAAGTCGTCAACTGCAAAAGTCCAGCTTTCCACTCGTCACCAGAAGTTTCTATATATTCCCTAACAACCAGCTAGTTTTTTCAATTCCCCATCACGCCTTTTTTCTGCTTTTCAAATGCAGTCCATTGTGTAAACGACGACGGCCGCGAATGTGCCGTTTATATTACCCGATTCAGGGAGCACCGATCTCACTAGCTCATCGAGCTATTGATTGGCTAATTTCAGTCGACTATTTGTGAAATCAGCAGGAAGATGAGGATACACCAGGATTTTCAATGAATCAAATGAGCGCCCCAAATTCGTATCATACCGGGCATCTGTATTTTTTACTTTGTGGCAATCCTGATTTCCAGTCAGGGAACACGTATTGCTTTTCTATTTTCTTAGTATTCATACAATAATATCTAAATATCTTCTACGAATGTTTGCTTCATTGAGGGTCTTTCCGTACTGAGGGATCGCTAGTCGGCTAGTGGCGAAGCTACGTGGCACGACCACAGGTGGGCTAAGGGCAAAAGCTACCATGTACATTCTTGAAATATAGGCCGATTCGAGGAAAAAATGCAATTTTGCTACCAGGCTGAATCGTGCTATAATACTGAATCCTCATAGGCAGATTTCTACCCTGTGTTCCTATTCAGTGCTACTCCTTTTACTCTAATTTCGGTGGACAAAAAAAAAAACAACTTTTAGCGTCTACGAAGTGAACGTTCTTAGAAAGGCTTTGAAACTTCTTGAACAGAAACTTTTCTTAGTCACTAAAAAGGGCTTTTTCAAAGCTAAGCCTTGGGAGAGGAGGAGCACGGGGTAAGGGTGAGTTGGGCTAAACGGGTGTTCAACTTCTACCCATCCAACCTTCTGCACAATGTAATCATCTCACTCATCCCTGTGCTGCTCCCCATAAGGCATAGGTAGAAACTACATTCTTTTAGCTGAAAACCATCTCGGCTACGCCTCTTTCTCTTCCTTCTAGCGCTCAATTATAGAGAGGAGGGGTGGACCTATCTCTCAATCACCTTTCCACCCCATCTCCAAGTCATGGGTCCTATAGAACATTTAATTGCGTCCCCAGTGAGTGCACGACCGAGTTTCTCATCTTCAGTTTTCGTGGGTAGCCTGGTGCATTGCGCTTCTTGAGAGTCGAAGATCACACTATAACAAGCTTAGGCTACTCCTAGATGGTCCATTTGGTGAAACCCATTATCTGTTGATGTTGACAAGAGATACAGGCAATCATTCTGACTGAGTGCATGCCGTTCTAGTGGTTCCAGGAGCTATCTTTTAGGTGTTATAGATCGCTGAAAGTAGGGAAGTTTGCAGGGCGTTTTCTGCTAATCATAAGATGGAAAATTTCTTATCTGCTGTGTTATCTCAGTAGAGTACTGGGCGGTTAAGTATGAGGGGAAAAATGAGCGTAGAGTATTGATTGCCTACCAATGATTATAACATACGGAAAGCAACATATTAGACCTTTGGTAAAAAAGGCATCGTCAAACATCTAAAATAGGAAGTGGTATACTAATCCAACATGCCACTGAAGTCTGGATCCTGCCACAAGAGCATTCTAGTGGTTTACGGAAAGAATGCTTTTGCGACAGAGATCCAGCCTCTGCCATCTCTACTTCTTGCCAGCGCAATTCGCTCTATGCTATCCGGCGTTGAATTGTGGATTATAAACCGACCACCCCTAAAATTCCCCGACTCCTGCAAACAGTTGGAAGGCGAGGGATGACAGTTCATAAGAGCACTTCTGAGCAGCTAAGGGACATAGCTGAGGAACTTATGGTCAATTGAGCTTTAAAGGCGCACTTCACAATAAAAATGATTTTTGAGATATCCCGCTGGAATGAATTTGAAGGACCCACGTATACCGTAGGAGTGCTGCTATACCTGGAAATGGTCGACATATTTAGTTATAAAGGCTCAAACATTGTACCGTTTACCTCGGACGAGTTTCACCGGCATTGTAGAGGCTGCACTAATCGCAAGGAAGCCAATGTAAGAGGATCAAACAACTTGACATGACCAATAGCGACAATGAAATGCAGCTCTGTACAGTTTGTGCTTGATGTAGTCAGCATCTCGTCCGAATTCCCCTTCCATGTTATTTTCGTCATGGTAATCTCGTCCAGCCTCTAGTATACCTACCTTTGAGGAGCCCGATTTTTCTCGAAATCGACGAACTTGCTTTCTTCACTACCATTGCCCACTTTACACTTGCGCTTTTCGACTAGAAAGGGATTCCTCAAATCATCGTGAACTGTGCATTTGATCAGCATTTCCTGCTGTTATTCTACCAAGCTTGAAAGATTCACTTCCTGTGACCTCGTCTTCAGTGAGGGTTCCCTCTCAACGAAGTCTCAAGCCGTTTCATGAAAAGGCTGCCGTTTTCTACCTCAAGGGTGTGAGGCTAAACATTGCCTTCGTGATCGTAAACCAGCAACATGCTGCTTTTGACGGAGCCACAATATATTGGTTAAAAGCTAGTAGTACATAAAAATTTTCAAAGAAGGAGGAGTAAAAGCTTCTAACCCTAGAAACGAATTTCTTTTTCTGTGAAGATTTATTTTCCTATCTAATTTGACCTCAACATTTTTTCCTCTCCATCCCTAACTATCCATCCCATCATCCAATATATAATCCGAATTCAATATTTGTCCGTGTAAACAAATGACAAATGAGAACAAAGAGTTTTGAACTTTTTGATGACACGTGGTACAAACACAATAGAAATAACCAGTTTAAAATTTCTATCAAACTGTACTGTGCAGGAAATTCATTTCTCAATCGTTTTTATTTTTTCATTCCCTGCAACTCTGCAACCGTCCCAAACGTTCATAAATGCACTTCCTTCCATGTCGACTATATTGACGGGGATGGGATATCAACACGATCGTTTTAATCCAAGAGAATACAATTTGAACACTTTTTTTTTCTTCAGAAACGTAAAATTTCGACTGTGTTAGGTTAGGGGGGGAGGACGGGCAGTAGGATCGGTTTCGTGTAATCGGTCTGCCGCGCGCGGCAGTCGCAGACCATTCGCCTCGTTATTACAGTTCGAACGTTCTTCATATGCATGATTCTAATATTAGTTCTTTAGTTTCTGTGTTTCTTATTTGCTGCAGCATTCCGCCACATCCCTTCGCGCGCGGTGTCTCTTGTCGCGACGCGACAGTTTCAATCCTACTGCATCACACCCTAGATTAGGCAACAAAAGCATTCAAATGTATATTCACATTACTATATTGGATCAGTTTTTGTATATTCTTATTTTATTCGCTAGCTACACAATTAACTACTTGTGGTCTTTTTTTTAACCGTTTTTCCTGCTATTAACACTTGTTCTTTGATGAAATCCTGATTGAAAACTGATAGAGGACGACAAGTATCCATTTTTTCGTTTTCGGCTTTCTGATTACGTCTATCCTCTGTACGCTTGTACAGTCGCTACTTCCGGTGCTAGTTGTATCTTTGGGAAGAACGCATCCCTAGCAGATTTCTTTTGGCAGGCTCGAACAGATTGTTGGCCGTTACTTTACCGATTGTGACGCGGGTATGCTCCATGTTTACTAACATCATCGACTTGCTCCATGCAATATTTGACAGTTGACGAAGATCTATGGAGCGGCTCTCGTGGCTCTCGGAGGTCTGTTTCTATGATTTCAAACCAATAGANAAAAAAAAAACATTAACTGGCTATCTCCGGTAAAAGAGAGTCAGAAATCTCCCGAAGTTCAACTCGAGCTCAGAAACGAGTGTTTAGACTCCAGCGGCGTGTAGACGGGGCAGTGCCGCATGTTAAAGAAATTGAAGAAGGTGGCGGGTGGTTGGAGCGCACAATGTATCGGAGCCCGATCGGGACTCAGCGCTAAAGAATACGGTGCTAGCGGTTCATTCGGTACGACCACTCTCGAAGATTTGTCATACGCTCACACAATTCAGTCAAACCCGGGTGTGGGTACTTTTTCCCAAAAATCGCGTCGCGCCTCATGTGATCGCGCGCTTTCAAGGGAGCAGTGGAATTCCGAGTGGAAGGATACGGTAGCCGTCGCAGAATTACTGCCGCTTGTTGTGGGAATTCGTGGAGAAGTACCGTCATCGTCGAATTCAAGTCTAACGACTCGACCTTCTCACATCACTTTGGCCAGTATAAGGCTTTACTCTTACACCGCAGGCGACAAGACAACCAACTAAGATTTGTCGTATACCGCGAAGGGAGGAAGTTTGGGGGATAAAGGGGATTCAGTACAATTTTATTTTGTAGTAATGATATCAAACAAAAAAACCCGAAAACAATTTATTTACAGACGCAAAACTATGATATTCCGCGTTTACGACCCTATGACTCCCCCATGTAGGATGATGGGGTGGCTTATTTTCAATAAATGTATGGGATGGAGTTGCGAACTGACTTTTTGAATGAAAGTGC